TTGGCTGATAAAATTACAGGCAAGTCCAAAGTCCTGCTTTGAATTCTAAACGTGCTTAAGTCTTTGGCATTCAGTCTAATCATCTTCACAAAAGAAATTGAGCAGATGCTACACTGTCTTAAGATGTAAAATGACCAGATTGCAATTTCTTCTTATACATATGCGTAATCTTGCTTTTTACTTACTAACTTTCTATTGTACAGCATTTCATTATCTATTAACAATATGTAGAAAAAACTAACCAGAGATAGGGGCTGCCAATGATCCTGTGGTTGTTGAAGCTGTAATGGTATCTACATAGGCTATTTGGTGGCAAATGTACTGTTTCTGTCAAGTAAATGAAAAATAGATTTCAATCATTCAGCTATTAGATTATCCATGCAGAGTCACAGATCTTAGTCTTCTTCATCAAGCCAATTCTTAAGTCATACAGTGATTGACTCAAGCCTGGTCGAAGTCCACACTTTTTCTTTCATAAGAGTTCATAAGATGTTACACCAAAATCAGAATCAGAAAACATTTTGAATGTGATTATCAGTGAAGAAGATTCACAAACCAGGAATGTCTTTTGTAGATATTGTGCAACATAAAATAATTAAAGGTCGTATATTATGCAAAATTTACTCTTGTGAGGTTTAAGTCATGTTAGAATGTTCATTACTTCCTCAAAAACATACCTGGAGTGCATTAGACTGTCTAGATCTCCAAAGCTCCGAATTCTCTGTTCCACCTTGTGATGTCGTGAAGCTGTAGTTTATAAGTTTAGTAGAAATTGGCAACTCCAGGACTGAAATCATCCAAATGTTTCTAGTGCAGGTGTATGGAGTTTAAAAACACAAATCTAAGTATGTTTTTCATGAGGAAACAACATTATACCTTAGATCAGATAGCATAACATGGGCTCTTAAATAATAAATACATTACACATTATCTGTCCCATCTAAATAAACAAATGAGATACACAGATATAAGAGAAATCTGCTTTAAATTCACAGGATGCATGCTATTTTGGCATCCATAAGTTTGTCATCACTTCGTAAGCATACATGGGATTTCTGATGCTGAGAGATACACACTGTGGTCGTATCCAACAATGTGATCAGTGCAGAGGGCAGAAGAAAGTCCCAAATCTGTGTGCCACAAAGTCAGTTCCGTCTGACAGATTTCCAAACAATGGCAACAGTCATGCATCAGGAACAATAATTACAGCTGAGTGTTTGGCTTTATAAATTGTGGCTATGGGCTGTCCGAGTTTCGTGTGAAGATCTGGCGTGTGCGCTTTACTGCGTTCACACGTTCCTATTAGACTTTAGTGCGTGCGTGCTCGAATTGTAAAAGTATGAGCTTGTTAATTTCAATAAGGGACATGGCCTTGTTGTGGTTTTGGGCAGATGGGCGGGAGAATACTTGAAGTGGCCAAGCAAGATCGCCAGAAATCTCTCCTCAAATTCCACCCCGCGCCGTCAGCCGTCATGGGACCGCTCTCTCTCACACTCTGTCTCCTGTCAAACAACCACCAAATCATTCAGTTATTTATTCAATGATGTTTTTCATTTTTTATATATAAAACCTCTAAAAATGTTTGAAAACTTTGTAAAAATCCATAAATATAGTGCAGTTCCCAACCTTTTTTGTGTATTGCACACTGTAGAGGCTACCCCCTACTGGTATTTAACTAGAATATCCCCACAACAGTATTTCCTTCCATATATATATACACACAAATACAGTACAAAGAACATATTACATCAGTTCAGGCAAAACAGTGAAATCCAGGATTATTATGAAACAAGTTTATTCCTGACTGTCTTACTTGCAAAGCAGTATTATTGTGCAATTACAATTAGATATCTACAGTGTACAAATGTAACTGAAGGCATCTTACAATTTTTTAAATAATGGCATATGATAAGAAGGAAAATATAAAGAGCTTCCCTGTGTGAAACACTAGCCATCCCGGTCCTGACTTTAATTAAAATAGATTAAATCAACATAATCGTCCAGTGTTGAGTTTTTACTTTTTGGCCATATCGCCCAGATTAATAAGTATTCGTGTACCTTCCCAACCACCAGGGAAACACTAAGCAGGAAATTTCTCAGAGTTTTAATTTCATTAAAGGAAAAAAATATATAAACTTTCACAATATCAGCACATCCCAAATGTTGGTGCCAGCTACAGACTTCTACATAACTTCATACCAGCAGTACATTACCAGGAATAGACAAATGATACTGAATTAGATTCAGTCCTTTGAAAAAGTGGTGGGTTGTACACATTCCTTTTCTCTCAAATTCTTTCTTTCCAGTTTCTTAAGCACAAATGAGATCCAGACTGAATTAGTGATTGATTGATATTGAAAGGATCTATTTTTTGGGGGGGAGGATCTTAAGGTTTCAGGACAGGAGGGTGGGAACTGTTGAAAAAAGAATACTTCTCTTTTCAATTCATCTTGACTTATTCTCACCGCACTTTAAGGCCCCACAGAGCTGCTCACATTGATTAAGGACGCTCACGCACACACATGGTTTTTGATGTCACATGATAAAATCCAGGCCGGACCAAAATGGGGCGCAGAAGCAGAGGGAAACATAATTGAAATGTTACTTTGTCATCTGATCATATAGTCACAACAGCAACGAGACGCCATTTTGTCATAAGACCCTTAGTAAGCAACAGACCATAATATCAAAAGGAACAGCCCACTGATGATACTGTTACAGCAAGGGAAAACCAGGCTCAGAGCCATTCACTTTCCTAATGTAGCAGAATGAGGTCAAAATTAGAGCTTTAACTTTATCTAAACCATTCAGGATAAATGGTTTTAATGCTAAAATAATCAAATAATTACAAATCAAACTAATCAATTAATAATGCTTAGAAAAGATTATAATTATGGAGGGTAAATGCATGTTTTGACAGGTGTTTTTCATTAAAGGTCCCATACTACACAAAATTAACTTGTGAGATTTAAGCTATGTTAGAATGCTGTTACCTCGTCAAAAACATTCCTGGTGTTTTGTTTCATTCACACATGTTTGAGTAACCCTTTATTATTAGTCTGTCTACATCTCCATAGCTCAAAATGCTCTGTTCCACCTTGTAGAACATGGCGGTAGTTTTCACAGCTTTTACCATCTGTTCAGTAGAAATGGCCAAAATGATACAAATTCTTCTTTTAAAGGTGTGTGAAGTTTAAAACACAGTGGAGCATTTTCTGTATTATCACATGACATCACAAGGTGGAAAGTGTTTTCAGTTTCAAGAATTTTGGAGGGTTAGTGTGTTAAACATGTGTGAATGAAACAAAACACAACTACAAGTATGTTTGTGATGAGGAAACATTATAACCTAGATCAGAAAATAGCATATCTAACTATAATATTTAAAGGGGCACTATGTAACTTGAGGTTCTGACACCTGCTTGTCTCCAAGGAGATGATATTACATGAAATGTTCCACAGTATGGCATTGAACTTCCCTGTTGCATTGTTACAGGTGTTTTATTGCTAAACATCTCCATGGAGCCCAGTAGGGAGCGTACCCACTGACAGAAAGGTTACACAGTGCACTTCTCTCTGCGTTTCATCATTTCAGTGGGAACAATACTAGTTTTGAAACTAATGTAATATTTCTGATTGTGGTGCTGACATGAAAGCTGTGCTCACATTTATATTTAGCCAACCCAGATAAATAGAAGGCCCCATGTTTTGAAAATATCTGTAGTTGTTTTTGTGCTGCATTGTGCTATGTTTAGTGAACACACCCATGCAGGCTGGTGTTCAGGAAGTAGATACCCTCGGTCGGGCATTGTGTCGATGGGCCATGCCACTTTCAGACACACATGTACACACAAAACCAACAAGCGGCCCGCCTCTCATGTTTCCATGGCAATCTCCTCTAGCAATCTTCCCACGGTGCAGCGGAACCAAGTGCTCCACAGTAAAGGCGTTGAGCTCTGTAGGGACAGGCCTATCTTGTCCATTGAAGAGAACACATCCAACACTCACTAGGAGGAGTCTACTCTTGACCCACTCTGCTCATCTCACTTGCACACAAAGAATATAAAATGATAAATCTGACAAAATATGAATTATTTTTGTTATTCGTGCGGTTGCCTCTTTATGTGTACTGTTTATTTACAATGTTTAACCTGCAAGCCAGGCCCTAGCAGAGCAGCATCAGAACTGAAGAAGCTACTTCTTATGCTACTTTTGAGAGAGAGAAAAGATGGAGACAGCAAGAAAAACAGAAGAAATCTTGTTTATATGTCTTAAATAGATTATATTAGTTATTGGCTGTTGTGAATACTGTAGCTTATGTAATTGGTACATGGCTGCATGGTCCATATCGCCTGAAAAATGTGGCAACATAATAAATAAATAAACATTTTAGATTGTCTTCCAAAAATCTTCATTGTGGGCAGTGGCATGTGACTGGAAGCACTACAGACTGTGTGAAACCTTAGTATTGCGTGCCCTGTCAGAGATGTTGTTCTCACCGATCATCTTTCCCACACTCCTCACATCACCGCTATTGTTCCACAGCAAAGAATAATTAAAGGAGCTAGAAAAGGCAATGGAAGGTCCGGAGTGGTGCTTTAATTGAGAGGGGATGACTGTATATGAGGGGAGGGAGAGAGGGAGAGAGAGTAGGAAGCCAGGCACTGGGGGGAGGAGGAGAGGGGGCAGATCTGGCAACCCTGCACCAACTGCCAAAGTGCTATTTTTTCATTGGGCGACTGTCACAGCGGGAGAGAGAGAGGGAAGAGACATCAGAGAAGAGAGAATGTGATTGGATGCCAGAACTGGAGTCAAAAAAGTAAGCATCTTGTTAGTTTTCGTAGTTGTCATGGGCCCTTGGGGGTCGATCACAGCTGACTCACAGAGGGACCAAGAGTGGAGAGAACATCCAGAGTTCTGACAAGCAACTTGGGACAGTTTGGCTTTTTTTAAAGGACATCTCAGGAAGACCTAAAAGGACAGGGTCTTTGCTTTCGAAAATGAAGAGACCTCACGACTACAGCTCCCCCGACTCAGATACTGATGAGTTCATCGATGTGGGACAAGAAGACAGCTACTGGTGAGGAAATAATGCAAGCAAAACGAGCACATAGGCCAAACAGAAAAAAAGTAGAAAACATAAGGGCAAATAAGAAAGAAGATATTAAATGTAACATTATTTTAACTACAGCAATGTATCATAAAACATAGTTGAAATGTGTTCTATTATAGCAAAAATACAAAATGAGATTTATTGACAAATCTGCGAGAAAAGGAAATATGCATATTTCACTGCAATGCAATGTCTAAAGTACTTTTTTTTTCTATGTATTATTGTGAATGACTATTAATGTATACATACTTTATCCTACAAAAAGCCTGATACTAATGTTAAGCTAGATGTCTTTTTGTATTATGCTTATGTTTTGTATTAAGCTTACATTTGAAATAATGTAATACAACAAAAATAAAAATAAAATAAAATAAACCAATAAATTAAAAAAGAGAGAGTGTGACAAAATATCCACATCATTCTGACTAAACTAGAACAATAAATGTTAAATATAAAATTGTCTAAAAAGTAAAGTTATGAGCAACATCAATGCGTGCCTTGACAGCAGTATCAGTTACATCACTGACGAGTGGAGAGCCAGCGGCACTAAAGCCTGAATTTGGATAAATCAAATTTGCGACATGACATGAGAACATCCAGCATGGCCCTTTGAAGCGCAGACCCCATCAAACATGAGAACTAAACAAAAACACACCACAAACTGGCAGCCTTCACTTTAGAATCTAATAGAACATCAGTGTGTGAACTAAGAGGAGCATCGCCACGTTGACTATATATGCCTGAAAATCATCGCCTCTGGGCTGTGTAATCATCTGTCTCCAAGCCTCCCTATAGCTCCCAAAGAGGAACAACATGTTATTTCACTGATGTCCAGAAATCCAACTTTTTCCTTATGGGTACTCCCGGTTTTCTTTGCCTGAAAAACAAAACTAGATTAAAGCTTTAGCCTATGTGCCATCCCTTCAGTCCTGTATTGTATTAGTGATAATAATAACAATATGGAGAAGAATTAAAGTTTCTCTTGTGTCCGCTCATGTCTTTGTACAGTGCGGTGACTGGTTCCATGTCCCCTGGTAGCGCCTCGCAGGTTCTGGCCCGAAAGAAGAGAAGAGGGGTGAGTGAATGACTATGTTATGTGGTTTTATTTGTGGCTTTATTACTAACCAGGCGTACTGTACATATGGTAGATCATAGAGAAGAGGAGAAGAGACAGGATCAACCACAGCCTGTCAGAGCTCAGAAGATTGGTGCCTAGTGCATTTGAAAAGCAGGTAAAGAGCCACTGTTGTTAAGTTAATAGAGTCACTGCAAAAGTGAAAAATATTTAAGAATCTACATGTTGTTGTAGGGTTCTTCAAAACTGGAAAAAGCTGAAATTTTGCAGATGACAGTAGATCACCTCAAACTGCTTCATGCCATGGGAGGAAAAGGTACAGTTATTTATCATTTATTATTTTGTTCATTGCTACCAGTCCCATCCATTATATTATGACAGTGTGTTTGTCTAAAATACTGGTCACGTTCTTTTTTATATATAAAGGAATTTAGAAAACTAGAATAGAATATGGGCTTAAATCGGCATTAAATCATACACTGATATTAAACTTGTAAAAGTAAAAATGTAATTCACACAGATTTGAAAAATGTGATGATTATTATTATTATATCATTATAAATAATTGCACTGATGTTTGGTCATTAAAAGCTACTTGGTCGATAACTTCATGTATCTAGACATTTTAATATAGTTTTGTTTGCTTAAAACTTAGGTAAGATATCACCATGAATGTTTTAAAATAAATAACCCCTTGGGGTGGTCTCAGACCTTTAAAACAGTACTTAATTTTTCAGTTTTTAAAAAATGTAGTGGAGTAGAAAGTACAGACACCTGCTCTCAAATGTAGTGAAATAAAAATTAAAAAGTAAAGTATAGATACCCAAAAAATTGTGGCCTACTACTCTTACTTTTGTACTTTTACTGTCTATGCAGATGAAGCGTGATTGATATTTTGACTCTAAATTGAGCCACGACATTCTAACTTTGCTGTCTTTTATGCCAGGTTACTTCGACGCTCGAGCTCTGGCCGTAGACTACAGGACTCTGGGCTTCAGGGAGTGTGTGGGGGAGGTGGTGCGGTACCTGAGTTCACTGGAAGGGGATTCAGCAGACCCTATCGCTGCCCGCCTCGTGTCCCACCTCTCCCACTGTGCCAGTGAGTTAGACCCCCTCCTGCTCCAGCCCGCCCCCGCCTCCGCCGTGCCCTTCGCCCATTGGCACTGGCCTACCTTCCCTCCACTATCTCCTGCACCTCCAACCTCATCGTCACCCCCTTTCCACCGCCGGGACCTGGCTTTGTTGGGGGCATACTCTCCACCGGTGTCTCTTCGTCTCAACCCTCCTCCTCCTCCCCTCGTTGCTCCGACTGCCCTGACCACCTCTGTCCCCCGGGTGTCCTCCCTCACCACGTCCCCGCTCCATAGAGGAACACAGCCACCCCATCACAGTGTGTCCAATGTCTCTCCCCGTCCACTGTCCCCTCCTGCGTCTACGTCTGTCTCAACTGCCTCGTCTTCACCTCCTGCACAGGCTTCTTTTAGACCCTTCGCACCACTGGGGTCTCCCACAACCCAGCGCAGGGGTGTGAGTGTATCAAGCAAGTCAAGTCAAGCATGGGGGACAGAGATTGGAGCATTCTGACAGCTATCAATGCTTTTATCTACTAAAGACATTTTGCAATAAATATGGACTTACAATAGGTTGTCATGAATTTGAATGCTGGAATTTACACTTCGGAGTATGCATGTAGCGTGTTACATAGAATCTGACAAATGGAGAAAGATTTGTCCAGCCATAATGCGATAGTGCACTTTTTTGTTTTAGCTATGTGAGACAAATCAGGAAATGGCCACATATTTTTTTGTTTTGTTTTTTGTTTTATTTTATTTTATTTTATTTTTTTTTTGAAAATCAGTAATGTATGTATGTTTCTGATCATAAGCCATCAGTGGTGGAATGTAACGATGTAAAAGTAGCAAAGTTCCGAACTTAGGTAAAAATTTTAGGTATCTGTACTTCACTTAAGTAGATTTTAAAGGGGATACTTTTTAGTTTTACTTCACAACATTTAAGAACAGGCATCTGTACTTTCTACTCCACTACATTTTTGAACAGGATTGAAAAGTATTTTTATGATAGTTTGAGGTTTGCTGAAAATTCTGAGGGTTTATTTTAGCATGTTCATAGTTTGAGCAAACAAACATATATACATATAAAAACTGGTGGAAAAAACAATTCATTCAGTTGTTTCTGTTGAACAAAATTCAACACAAATCTTTATAAAAATCACTACATTTGAAGCCATATTGTATCTCAAAATCTGTGCAAAATACTTTTACTTTACTCTTTAAGATAGTCTTTTGAAACAGATACTTTTTTCTTGTGATACTTTTACTGTTACTTTAAAATGTTTTGCTCCAGTATCTGACTTTTACTTAAGTAACAAAAGTGAGTACTTCTTCCACCACTGCAAACCATCAGTCAATGTTAAATCAGATGTGATTCTTGGACAGACTTGTGCATGAATTTCAGCACTTAAAGCCATTTTTTTTTCTTGTTATATGCAACACTTTCTATCACCTAATATTAAGTTTGTTAATTGGTATCACAATAATCCTAATTTCTTACCATTCTGCAACCCATGGATAATTTGATTATAAAGAATTTTTCACCAGAGCCATATCAATCTTACCATGCTAAGACTGGCCTTCTGACTGTGAAATTGTTGCTAAGATAATTTTGGTTTTAAATGTGTTCATTATTGATGTCATAAAGTGCCTTGATCCTTGTTGGCTGTGTGTTCTGAATATACTGTACATGTAATTGCTCCTTTAACTTCTATCAATACAAATGGCAAAAGGAATAGTTGAGAAGCTTGTGGTATTTCTTCACCGCTTGTATCCCCCTGTGTCTGAAGTGTCTCCATGACGGCTGGGGTGCGGGGGGCTGCGGTCTCGTGGTGACAGCGGATAAACATGGTGGGAGCTGCCGATGTTTTTGGGATACCACGGCGACGCAAACAGACCCATCACTATGCCCTCTAATTGACCAGTCCCTGTAATCAAGTTCAGCCTCATATCAGCCTGCCCTGCCTCTCCACCATTCTTCCCTCTTCAATCTTGCGGTACACCAGCGGATATCTTTCTGGACCGTTTTGTCTGCGCCACTGTCTCCTTAACAATAGAAAGTCAGAGGGAGAAAACAAAAAGAAAGATCTGAGGAGATGTGGTTTAGATGCTGATACTGGGTAGATGTTCAATAAAAGGATCAAAAGGGCAGGGTTGACGGCAAAAGACCACTGCAGAGAGTGAAGAAGTTCAAATCAAGTTGTGCAGAAATTGCGAAGTGTTGATTTAGAAAAAAAAAACTTTCGTCCATACTTCCTTGACAATGCCTGATCTAATCTCAAATATCGAAAACTAAGCAGGGTTGGGCCACTGTTGTGTCCTTAGGTAAGACTTCTATCTCACTTAGCCTAAAATAAATATGGTGACTACGTGAGTGATTGGTGATGGTGGGAGGGGCCGCTGGCGCAGACTGGCAGCCTCTCTTAAGCCAGTGTACTTAAGGGCAGCTATGGCTACACAAGCGTATGAGGTGAATGAATAATGTAAAGTGCTTTGGGTGCACAGAAGGGTGCTATATTAATTATTATTTACATTTATGCAAAGTGAACTTCAACTAGAGGCGCGCTTTAGAGCATTCCGTAATTCGGATTGCAAATATAATTCTCATTGTGATTATGAATTTTAAAGTGCCATCAGGCGTAGTTACTTGTGTACAGAGCTTAAGGGATGGAATATGGAACGCAACCTCTTATTCATGTCCGAAGTCCTTTCTGCATTGCCAATATGATGAATGACAGTTACAACAAGTTGTTTCTCAAGCGGGCATAATTGAGCAGTGCAGGGCCAGAATGTCTCCTCTGGGATGAAAAAGCTGAAATGAGCCTTGTGTGTTTATTGCTGCTGCGTGCTTTGATCCACTTCAGGATGCAATGTCTGTGGCTTGTGGTCCCCGCTGTGTGTGTGCTGCTAAGTGCATATTGTTTGTATGAGTGCATGAGCTCTATGGGCGAGTGTGTGATGCGAGCGCATAGGCCTGGCGTCAGGAGTGGACCGCGGGGCAGCGTGGTTCCCGTGCGAGGCTGGACGGCGGTCGGAGCGGCGGTACGGTGGTGGAATGTTTGGCATGCTGTTTGCGCACACGCGTCGGATGGCACTATTCTAGCCTCTGGCGGAGGAGCACAATCAGCACCACAGCTTCCAGACAGGACAGCCACAGTCACACTGCGCTGAGCTTCCCACGGGGGAGGGGCACACCAGTGGAGTAGGAGAGGAGAGATAGCGGGCCCTCTGCTGGCATCAGAGGGGAAGCCTATTGTTGGTATGAAGTATGAAATTTAACCTAAAATATTTTGGATGTACTTTGTCTACTCATTTAGTAATGAATTTTGAGGTGTGGTTTAAAAATGTATTCATGGATTTCAGCTTTGGGGACCTTTCACTTTTCAAATGATATACTCTATATTGATTATATTACTTAAGCGCTATCCCAACACATCTAAAATTCTCTCATTAAAAAAAAATATATATATATAATGAGCTGAAAATAAAAAGCAGAAAGCAGACATAAGTATCAAATAATGAGTCATAGAAGTTATTTATTCAAATCTACTCAAGCCCAAAATTTATTGTAGATCAGGAAAATAACACTGCGCACTAGTCCAAAGAAAAAAATGACTGTTCTACCATTTATTGAACGATAAGTCACTATAGTAATTATCATGACAGGCCAAATAACCTAAATAAATTTGAGCCAGATCACCCACTGTCTGCTGCTCAGTTTAAGAGATCTTCATATACTATGTAAAACACCTAATAAATCCATAAAAATATTTTGTTAATGATATAATCAGAAGGAAAGTGGTAGTGGAATAGTTTTCATGACTTTAGTCAAAAAAACTTTTGTTTATTTAAACAACTTGACTTCTTTCAAACAGTGTGACTACTACATCTTCTCAAAGCAAACCCAGACACCACATTAGCCAATTTGGTTACTTTGAGTGGAGCAGGAACATTGATGACACGCTTCAGATAGCACCGCCCCCTGGAAGAAAAAAAATATTTTGCCAAATTATTAATTATCTTTTTAATGTTAATTTATATGACATTACCAATACACGCTGTCAAAGAAGTTCTCATTGACATAGGTAAAAAACTGGCAGTTGGAGTCATCATTGCATGCTCTCTGACAGCTTTCCGCATTGTCCAGCAGAACAAATCGCATGTCAGAGGCTCGGAAATCGGTCCCTTCATGAGTCACTGTTAGCCAGTCTGTCCAAAATGAGAAATCAAATACAAATAAGTGAATACATTACTATAATAATAAATGGTAGGAAATTGTATTGTATGTCATACTCATGTCTGGTTGACAAAAACGTGAAGGCAGTCCAGATGTTACTCCAGCTTTAACAAAGGTCACCATCTCATTGGGATTGTTCTTCAAGTAACATGTGGTGCTTGAATATATATATATATATATATATATATATATATATATATATATATATATATATATATATATATATATATATATATATATATATATATATATATATATATATACACACACACATACATACATACATACATACACACACACACATATATACATATATATAAAATAAAAATGTGCTCCCCACCTTCCACGGTGCACAGTATTTTTGCTGTTCCCAGTACTGCACTTTTCTGGACTGAGATGTCCGTTGTTTTTCCTTGTATCTGCTGTAGCCACTCTTCCAGTTTGGAGGTTACAGCCCCGAGTGCTCTTCTGGTGTGGTAGATCTGGGGCTCTATTGCTCGCGTGCCCAGGGCCTGCTCCTGAGCAGCCAGGATGAGAGCCTCTGCGCTGTCCTTCAAACCAGCCCTCTCAAGCCATTAGTAGGAGTTCTCGATATTAGCCACTTCAGTTATGTTTCGGTGGCACACCCCATGTAGGGGCTTGTCCTGCCATGATGGTCCCTCCAGCACCTCTTCCTCTGGACGCCACTGTCTGACACATTCTCTGAGCATCTCATCTGTCGGGCCTTGTCCTTGATGTACTCCTTGATGTTTAATCCTGGACAGTGGTTCCCACACTCACTAGTCCTCGGCCTCCTTCCTTCCGGCTTGTGCACAGTTTCAGGGTGCTGGATTTGGGATGGAACCCTCCAAGCATTGACAGGATCTTTTGTGTCTTAACATCTGTGGTCTGTATCTCCTCCTTTGGACAGCTTATGATTCTTGCTGGGTATCTGATCACTGGCAGGGTGTAGCTGTTTATTGCTTGGGCCTTTTTCTTGCCATTGTGCTGACTTCTTAGGACTTGTCTCACTCTTTGCAGGTATTTGGCCATAGCTGCTTTCCTTGTTGCCTCTTCACGGTTGCCATTTGCTTGTGGGATACCAAGGTACTTGTAGCTGTCCTCAACGTCTGTTATTGTTCCCTCTGGGAGTGAAACCCCCTCTGTGTGGACTACCTTCCCTCTCTTTGTCACCATCCTGCTACATTTCTCAAGCCCGAATGACATTCCAATGTCTGTGCTGTAGATCCTTGTGGTGTGGATCAGTGAGTCGATGTCTCGCTCACTCTTAGCGTAAAGCTTGATGTCATCCATGTAGAGGAGGTGACTGATGGTGGCCCTGTTTCTGATTCAATCAATCCAGGCACTGCACAGTTTGGTCTGACAGGTTCTGCAGTCAGGGGAGACGGTTTGGTGAACCAGGAGTTGGTATTTGACTCCCCTGGTGTTTTTGTCAATGCCTTTCTGTACTGTGCTCATGCGTTAATTTATGTGCCCGGTTATCTTAGCAGCAATGATGCCTGACATGAGTTTCCATGTTGTGCAGAGACAGGTTTTGGAAAAAGGAAAGTTGGATGGGACTGTACCCTTTGAGGGATCCTTCAGGTTCAGGATTGTATGCCCTTGGATTAGCCATTAAGGGTGAGTCCCATCCTTTAGCAGCTGGTTCATTTGTGCTGCCAGGCGCTCGTGGAGGGCAGTGAGCCTCTTTAGCCAGGATGCATGGATCATGTCAGGGCCTGGTGCGGTCCAGTTTTTCATACCTGAGACTCTTTCCTGGATGTCTGCCACTGTGATGGTGACTGGATTCTGTTTAGGGAAGTTGCTGTGGTCTTCCCTCAGATTCACCAGTCACGGTGCATCGGTGTTATGTGATGCCTCCCTCTCAGATATGCCTTTCCAGTTCCATTCAGTCTCCAGCCTTGGTAGGTCTGCTCTGGTGTTATTACCCTGCTATTGAGCATACACTTTTGCAGGCTAAGATAAGCAGGCATATGAATCAATACATGAGCACAGCACAGAAGGGCATCGGCAAAAACACCAGGAGAGCCAAACACCAACTCCTGATTGACTGAACATTTGCCCATGACTACAGAACCCGTCAGACCAAACTGTGTGCTGCCTGGATTGATTACAAGAAAGCCTATGACTCAGTGGCACACACATGGATCACTGAGTGTTTGGAGTTGTACAATATCAACAGGACTCTAAGGGCGTTCATTGCAAACTCGATGCAGTTGTGGAAGACCAACCTTAAAGCCAAAGGGAAGCCACTTGCACAAGTGTCTATCAAATGTGGCATATACCAAGGAGACACACTGTCTCCTCTGCTGTTTTGCATAAGTCTGAACCCCCTCTGCCAAATCATCGACCACACTGTCTATGGATACCGAATCAGAAACGGGGTCACCATCAGTCACCTCCTCTACATGGATGATATCAAGCTGTACGTTAAGAGCGAGCGAGACATCAACTCACTGATCCACACCACCAGAATCTACAGCGCAGACATTGGAATGTCATTTGGGCTTGAGAAATGTAGTAGGATGGTGACAAAGAGAGGGAAGGTAGTCCACACAGAGGGGGTTACACTCCCAGAGGGAACAATAGCAGACACTGAGGACAGTTACAAGTACCTTGGTATCCCACAAGCAAATGGCAACCATGAAGAGGCAACAAGGAAAGCAGCTACGGCCAAATACCTGCAACAAGTGAGACAAGTCCTAAGAAGCCAGCTCAATGGCAAGAGCAAGGCCCAGGCAATACACAGCTACACCCTGCCAGTGATCAGATACCCAACAGGAATCATAAGCTGGCCAAAGGAGGAGATACAGACAACTGATGTTAAGATACAAAAGCTCCTGACCATGCATGGAGGGTTCCATCCCAAATCCAGCACCTTGAGACTGTACACGAACCCAAAAGAAGGAGGCCGAGGACTAGTGAGTGTGGGAACCACTGTCCAGGATGAAACATTCAAGCTCCTTGAGTACATCAAGGACAAGGCCCGACAGATGACGTGCTCAGAGAATGTGTCAGACAGTGGGGTCCAGAGGAAGAGGTGCTGGAGGGACCATCATGGCAGGACAAGCCCCTACATGGGGCGTACCACCGGAACATAACTGAAGTGGCTGATATCAAGAAGTCCTACCAATGTCTTGAGAGGGCTGGTTTGAAGGACAGCACAGAGGCTCTCTTCCTGGCTGCACAGGAGCAGGTCTTGAGCACCTGAGCAGTAGAGGTTCAAATCTACCACACCAAATTAAGACCCACAGTGTAGGCTGTGCAAAGAGGCTCCTGAGACAGTCCAGCACATAACTGCAGGGTGTAAGATGCTGGCAGGGAAAGCATACATGGATTGACATAAACAAGTGGCGGGCATAGTGTACAGAAACATCTGTGCAGAGTACGGGCTGGAGACCCCAGGATCAAGGTGAGAAACACCTCCAAAGGTTGTGGAGAATGACCGAGTCAAGATCCTGTGGACCTTCCAGATACAGACTGACAGGATGGTGATGGCGAACTAGCCAGACTTAGTAGTGGTGGATAAGCAACAGAACAAAGCCGTGGTGGTGGACATTGCAATCCCAAGCGATGCCAATATAAGGAAAAAGGAACACGAAAAACTAGAGAAATACCAGGGGCTCAAGGAATAGCTGGAGAAGGCCTGGAAAGTGAAGACATCAGTGGTGTCCGGAGCACTCGGGACTGTAACCCCAAAACTGTAATCCCCCAAACTGAAGGAGTGGCTACAGCAGATACCAGGAAAAACAATAGATATTTCAGTCCAGAAAAGTGGTACTAGGAACAGCAAAGATACTGCGCAGAACTCTCAAGCTCCCAGGCCTTTGGTAGAGAACATGAGTTGGATGAGAGGGAGAGAGACAAACCACCGTGGAAGGTGAGGAGCACACACACACCCACCCACCACACACACACACACACACACACACACAAACACATGCATATATTACGACATAACCAAGTGGCGGGCATAGTATACAGAAACATCTGTGCAGAGTACGGGCTGGAGACCCCAGGATCAAGGTGGGAAACACCTCCAAAGATTATGGAGAATGACCGAGCCAAGATCCTGTGGGACTTCCAGATACAGACTGACAGGTTGGTGATGGTGAACCAACCAGACGTAGTGGTGGTGGATAAGAAACAGCAGAGCCGTGGTGGTGGACATTGCAATACCAAGGGATAGTAATATCAGGAAAAAGGAACACGAAAAAACTAGAGAAATACCAGGGGCTCAAGGAGGAGCTGGAGAGAGCCTGGAAAGTAAAGGCATCAGTGGTGCCTGTGGTGATCGGAGCACTCGGGGCTGTAACCCCCAAACTGGAAGAGTTGCTACAACTCTTCAGGAACAGCAAAGATCCTGTGCAGAACTCTCAGGCTCCCAGGCCTCTGGTAGAGGACCTGATATATATATATATATATATATATATATATATATATATATATATATATATATATATATATATATATATATATATATATATACTTACACTTATAGTTATGAATGTGATATTGGGCCATTACCTTTCAAAGGAGAAGTAAGTACAGGATGGGTGAGTGGTGCACAGTATTTGACAGTGTTCAGGAGAAGCAGCAGGCATCCTCAAAAGGTCATTTCCAGGTATGTCAGCATTGAAGAAATATTTGGTCTGGCATTCTGTTGAAAACAAACTTGAAAGTAACTTAATGATTTATATGAAATACAGTTTTATAATATAATGTACCTTTGAAGAAATTCTGACTTGTGTCTATCAGTGCATTGTGAGAAAAGCCAGATACCACACCACTCTTTTTTTCCACAATAGGTGTCAATGGAACTGTCCAGCTGAACTTCAGATGACATTTGTACCTGAAAACACACACGAATCTAACATTCTCTTCACGTAACTCATTGAGAAGGGTGCATTCTGAGAAGGGTGCATCATTCTGCTGTGCTTGTATGTACCTTATTTTCTCATTTGAAAAAAGGCTGTTTGCCCATGTGAAAAACTGGCAGCCAGGATCCTGTGTGCAAGCTCTCTGACACTCCTCATAGTCAGTGGTGAAGAGAACGCGATAGTCAGCCCCAGGAAAGTCCAAGTTAGAGTATGTTTGATCAAAACATGGAGCTGGGACAACAAAGTTAGAAGGCAGCACTATAACAAACAATTTAACATTTTTAAAACTATCATGTTTACCTTGATGTTCAGGGCAGGGTTTGAGGGAATACCCAGAGGTCACTCCCAGAAGAGGTGTCTGGACACTAGGCTGTCCAGAGGAGGTCTTCTTCAAGTAACAGTAAAAATGTCTGTTTAAGATTAAAATTATGTTTTTGTTAGGGCTATAGTGTAATTTTTTATGATTACTTGACCAAAAAAGTGTCAACTTGGATTTAATAAATTAAACAGGTAACCAAATCTCCTAATAACCTAAAGCCATAGGATTTGCTTCCATATATGGAACAACAACCATTTTCATTCACACATCCGACACATCCATTTTTGTCTGTTTGAAGGTAAGAGTCATGCCTCCATCTAAGTGAATTGTTTCATGTCAACATCAAATACTTTCTAATAGCTTCTCATTGAACTACAATGTGTGTTGACCAGAAATCTTAAGATTATTGAAGTTTGACCTCCCTGTTATCTCTTGTCCAGTCTGCACGGAGAAACGTAAAGAAGAGGCAGGAGGGGTGCTGAGTACACATCTGCTGACAATGGTTCACATCTGGAGAGTAGACAAACTCAATGTCTGTTCCTGGAAAATCCACATTCTCCAGAAGCTCTTGGTGACACTCTGATTGAGAGAAAAAAAGGTTTGTTATTTTTTCACAAAAATACCTTAGGTTACTTAACATTATTACACTGCACACTGTAAAATACCTTGACTTGAGGAGTGTCCACATAGGCAGAGCAGTGACACAAAGACAAAGAATCTTCTCATGTTGTCTCCACTAGCTCTCCTCACCACTTCTGCTGCAACACTGGCCTCAACCTGAGTTTATGATTAGGCTGATCTTATGATCAAAGGGCATGTTTACTTTAAATCAGCCAGCAACTTTTGACCTAAAATATCAATGAAACGTCAATAACTTCATTACAAATGCCGTTAGGTATTTTAAATTGAATCTAATCTGTCTCTATTGATGATATATCATTTGGGTGAATGTTTTAATATTTGTAAACTGTATAAATTGTAGTCCGTGAAAAAAAACAAATTGTCTTTTCTGCACATATCTGTTGAATTGTGATTACATAATCAGATCTACACACTAGAAATGTATTGGTTAAGAACTGTTTTGCAGTGAAACTGAATGAGAGGAAACTAATTCTGTTCCATAAGAGGATTAATTTCTTTAATAAAAAGCTTTAGTTATCAAGGTCCATGGCAGGGCAATTTTTGATTTTAGAGAGTGTCAGGAGTGGGGTTATGAGTGCTGTAATGACTATTAAATGATTGTAGAGTTCAGTGTTTGAACATCCAAAATAACATTTAATTCAAAATTGAATTATGCTGGTTTGGTTAGGTTTTATTCAGGATATTCTCCATTTATTGATTCAGAAACATCTTCAAATATTTGTAATGATGGGGACTACAGTGTATGTAACATAGACCTATAGAAAGTGTATTTTCGTTTTAGGCTCTATAGTAGCATGTTTTTCTTGTGAGCTCTAAAAATAAATGCACAGCTTGCTCAACTTGAGTCATAAACCTTGAGGACCAATTCATGCATCGTCACATCTCTAATCTGTTCTGTCTGCCAAGATCTTTGATCTAAGAATTTGTAGGGTTATGTATGTTATAAATTCCCCAGGATAACTGTTATTTCAGTAATGTTTATTTAGTTTAGGCATCCTTAGACAGCTCAGGAGTCCTTGGGAGCACCATGGTAACGCTGTAACTTCGAGCTCAACTTATGGATCTATTAAAATAATAACTCAACTGCTCAACTGCTGTAGCTTCTGCGTCTATGATAAAGGTGGGTTTGTAAATATTTGTTTCTTTGATAGTTATTTCATGTTCTGATACTAATTAACTTGATTAATTTACATATTTTGGGTGATTGTTGATGTAAACTCTTAATAGTTATTCAAAGCATACGGTATATGTGTGTATAATTTTAGTTCGTAATATGATTCAAATGTTATAACCAGATGAAAGGATAGATTATCAGACGGACAGATGAAAAGATACAAGAAATCACATTAAAGCTCCTCAAATCCATTCAAGTGTCCGAGTTCACTCTATGACCAGAGTATTGTTTTAAGTGTCCCCAGTATACATCGCACTCAAGTCTACAGCCCTAAGCCATCTCCAATAATGTACAAGGAACAAGAGGACCATCTAGTGGTCTATGTCAGAACAACAAGACTCTCAAATACTTTTCACAGTTTACCAGTTACACATCACATTTTAAAGAAGGATAAAAAATAGTGTTTTATGTTATTCTACATTCACCACATTACAAGTTAAGAAAGAGCAACAAAGTTTTCAAAGGTCATTAAATTTAGTTTCATAATTTTAAATATTGTTTTCAGACTCAAATTTCATTCACAATTGTAAAGAAGTTGATTTAGCAAAAGTAACCATTTGAAAAATTTTATTTTAGCTTACAGTAGCAAAGTAGTGCATCAATGATGTCAAAGCAGACAAGTGCAAATTGGAGACACAAGTAGTTAGATATCGCTGAGCAATGGCTGGCCAGGTGTTTCCTTCCAGGTTGGAGGCCAGGACTTTTCAATGCTGGGACGAGTCTTTAGGTGGTTGTAGTAGCCAGCCAATTTGGGGTATTTTTCTTCAGACAACCTACAAAAGATAGATTTGAGTACATTCTTTGTGTGCGTGACTAGATAAGCATCAGCTCCACACTCACCCGGATACTTACCCCAGGCGGAAGAGCATAGCAACGACAGGGAATACAATCACATCAGCCAATGTAAAGCTCTTCCCAGCCAAGTAGTGCCCATTACCCTTCAAAACAAAAATGTAGTCAGAGGCACATTAAAAGGGGTTTGTGTATATGCATCTTTGTTGCAGTTCACCCATTTTATTCAGACCATCTTGTGAGAAATAAGTGACCCATCTTGAGACTCTGGATAAATTTGGTTTGAAATTTACCTTTTGCAAATAACCCTCCCATAGTTTGACCTCAGCAGTCAGAGCCTCTTTATTCCTTTTAAGGGTTGCTTCATTTCTCTCAGCTTCTGGGATTCTCCAGACGTAGAAGGCAACATCAACTGAAACACAAGGAAATTTTAAAAAATATACACAAGATTCTTTACATCATTGTACTGCAGGAAAGCTGGCCACAGTGGATGAAGTAGGCGGCTCCTAACACAATGACCACATGCACAACTACACTGAAGTCTCTTCAAAATAAACTCTGCTTTTATACTCAGTCTGTGGATGGAATCGGCCATAAGGTAAGTCTACTGTGCTAAGTGTTGGGAGTAAACTTTAGTAGCAAAACAAATCACATTGCATATCCTGTAAGTTTTAAGTCCCAATAAATGTGTGTTTGAAATGAACTTAAATTCAAGACAAATATTGAAACTCAGACCTTCAAAACAGTTCTCCCCTCCACATGGTCTGACCCATGACCTCACCCAAAGTTTATAAAAATGGCAGACATTGGACACACCTCCTCTTTGTCTAGACCATGTGGGATCAAGGTTAAGTATGAATGTATGTGAGTATAAGCCTAAAAATGGAAAGGTTTTAGAAAATAAAGAATGAGTACATGTGTGGTGTAATAATTAAACTGACATATAATAAACAAAACAGGACTGTCATGTCAAACTGTTAAGTTGGAACTGGCAAAAAAAATATGAGACAGTGACCAAAATACAAGTGGTGTGTCACAAGTACTTGGCCGATATTATAAAAAATATTTTGCTCAAGGTGACCCATTCCCTTTGCCAAAGTTGGATGGGTATTGCATAATATCCAAACTTTGATTTAAAAAAGTCCATGATCATGCTCCCCATGGGATTCTTTGTGGAATTAAGGGAAAGCATGACTGCACTGTGTCACTTAAATGCTATGCATTTTTGCAGGGCACTTGTTTTGAATAGTCAACATCATTAGGGTTGGCAGTGTGCTGGCTGTCTCTGAGGACACTGACTGCAAGAAGTCAACTCTGTGGTTTTGAAAACTAAACAGCTGCCTAGAGCTGCTTTGTGTCCCAACACACAGGGTCATACAGTAATAGTGAAGCCATAAAGCAGAGATCATAAGGTCTCAAATGCCCTGTGTAACCTGACCTGCCCCATGTTCTATTCAAGCTGTGTAAATGTTTTAAAATAATACAATTTGAAATGTACCAAATTTAGACATGAGTGTATTCCCCTCATGCATCCGCTGCCTCATCATTGCTCTGTCCACTGGGTCTTGCGGTACCAGTGCAGTTCCTTGGCCCTTAAATGTGTCCTGTTACCATTAAAAAAAAAAACACACACACACACACACACACACACACAAAATGAACACAATTTCCTGTTGACCATTGTTGCAAAGTTCAGAGACTTTGACTATGAACTGAATGTTTAAATTACCTCCAAATACTCGCAGATGGCAAATGATTCATTTACAATTATTTTTCCATGTTGAAAAGCAGGAAACTAGAAAAAAGTACAGATTTAAAAACGTTTGCCTAGATGCAGAAAATTAATGCTAAACTTGTTTAGGTACAGAATATAAATTAAAAACATACCTGGCCCCTTGGATTAAGTTTAAGAACTTCTGGTCCCTTGTGCTCTTGTTTCTCAAAAGACAGCAACTTGCTGTGGTAGCCTTGCAGACCCTTCTCCTCCAGAGCAATCATAGCCCTCCAGCATGGGGGAGAACCAGAGCCCCAGTACAAAGTCATATCCTTGGCCATGGTTTAAGAATAACTGTCTTTCTTAAAGGCAGCAGAGGGAATGTTGAGTGAAATCTTGAATTCAACCTGGAGTGTGGAAGTCTGCTGCTTTTTATAGGAGCCATTTTGTATACGGATTGGTGGAGTGAAATCCTATGACCATCCCACTTCTTTGTTATCGGAGTAATCACTAAGACAGACCGTGTAGTTACATAACGCCACAACTATTAGGTCTACTGCCAAAACTGGGCTTTATTTGCATTTAAATTATACACATTATGAAGTTACTGCACAATTTATTGTTAAACTGTGAATTTAATACTGCATTTAATCATTACTGTATCATTCACTGTTTTGTTTTCCGTTGTGCACAGTCCCAGTGGTAGACTGACTTCACTACTCATAGTGACTCAGCATTTTTCATTCACCTCACTTCACCCTCTGCCAAGGAACTGGCTCAACCACTTTTCTCTTGCATGAACTATAGATCACCATTGCAAATGCATTGTATTTTATTGTAAAAACAAGCAAACAAACAAACAAACAAAAATAATAAATAATGTAAATGTAAATTTTAAAAAATGAGCATTACAAAAGACAACCTTCAGCACGTTTGGTATTATTTTGTTGGTGATTATAAATTCAATTGAGTTTAAGGAAACTCACCATGACTATGCATTACTAAAAGAGCGTGACTCACGTTTGTTTAAAAACGTCAATAAGAAAGCCAGTCACCTAACATCATAGCAATTAATAAATACAAAATATGAAGAAATAAAATTTAAAGGACATTTTCAAACCATTAAGGAATTTTGCAGAAATGGCTACCTTGGTCTGCCAAGACTACACATTCTACTACGAAATATTTAAACATAAGCATAACATTGCTCACTTGGCAATGTTTGACTAATAACCATAGCTTATAAATGTGCACTGTCCCCGTCTCATTAAATAAACAAACTATAAGACTGGAAACCAAATAATTGAATCATTAGCATACAGGCTACAGGCTATGAGATAAAGATATTTTGGAATTTAGACACAAACAGTGATGTGTGTTAAAAGTGGTAAATAAAGCATTTTGCAACCATCGATACACTGTGCATCATTTGGGCCTGCAGGAATTGCATTTATGTTTGAAAAATATCACAGTGGCCATCAAAATCAACAGGCCTACTTTGAATATAATGATACAAGTGTAATATAACTGATAACTGCCCTTAGAGATAGGGTGAGGAGCTCAGTCACGCGGAAGGAGCTCGGAGTAGAGCCGCTGCTCCTCCACGTCGAGAGGAGCCAGCTGAAGTGGCTCGGGCATCTGTTCCGGATGACCCCCGGGGCGCCTCCCTCGGGAGGTGTTCCGGGCATGTCCCGCCGGGAGGAGGCCCCGGGGAAGACCCAGGACACGCTGGAGGGACTATGTCTCTCGGCTGGCCTGGGAACGCCTCGGGGTTCCCCCGGAGGAGCTGGAGGACGTGTCTGGGGTGAGGGAAGTCTGGGAGTCCCTGCTTAGGCTGCTGCCCCCGCGACCCGGCCCCGGATAAGCGGAAGAAAATGGATGGATGGATGGATGGCTGTAATATAAATAAATAATGTGATATCATTTCTATGCATAAAAGTTAATTGTTATGGCTGCATTGGACATATGTTATCCATGGTTATCCATGAGTGTTATTTTGATAGATCCATGCCATAGAACTGTGAAATATGATAGAGATCCATGAATATGGTCCATAATAAATCCATGGATCCATGGGTTGTGTCCACTTGGTCGCGTCTTTCATGACGCAATATATGCGACTGCAAAGAGGTCAACAACGAACGAGTTGCCCACAGTTCACTTATTAACCAAAAATTAACAGTCTAGTATCGCATTCTACTAAATTTCTACCACCGAAAGGTAAGATCCTATAACAATTTGTTCTAGTAATATCGGATAAATTAACGCTATGCGCCAGTGTTATTGCCCTTTCTGGAATTTTCTTCGGCTAACGTTAGCATACCACAAGTTAACGTAATGTCTTGCTAGCAAACAAATAATTGACCCTACTAAATGGTTAACTTTTGCTTTATCTGCACAATACATTTGCCATTGTTTTACACATGATACCTTCAATCTGTTTAAGCTCGAAAACACAACAACGCCAAGATGTCGTATATGTTGCCGCATCTTCACAATGGATGGCAGGTTGATCAAGCTATTTTATCGGAGGAAGACCGAGTTCTCGTGATTCGTTTTGGTCACGACTGGGACCCCACTTGCATGAAGATGGATGAGGTTCTTTACAGCATCGCCGAAAAGGTAACGTTACAGTGATGCGTATTTGGTGGTTAACTGTTATTAGCATCATAAACTATAGCTATGGATTGAAGCTAGCCATTTTGGCTGTAGCATTAGCAGAGGGTGTCCTCAATGGCGAAACACTCTGATAACATAGACCTGTTCATTCAGAAGTTTCCTTCAAGTTTAGTCACCTATTTGATTTAGGGTATTCGTTCTGTTACAGCAGCAATATTTCACAGGTTAAAAAGATACTGTAAGCGGCTGCTTGCCAATATAAAACTGTCCTTTTTGTTTTTTACAGGTGAAGAATTTTGCAGTGATCTACCTGGTCGACATCACAGAAGTACCAGACTTTAACAAGATGTACGAGTTGTATGATCCTTGCACTGTGATGTTCTTTTTTAGGTAATAAAAAAGTTGTATTATTCCATCTTTACTTAATAATTATTTAATTTAAAATCACTGCATTTGTTGCAGGAACAAGCACATCATGATAGATCTAGGAACTGGAAACAACAACAAAATCAACTGGACAATGGAGGACAAGCAAGAAATGATAGACATTGTAGAAACCGTTTACAGAGGAGCGAGAAAAGGAAGAGGTCTTGTGGTTTCTCCTAAAGATTATTCTACAAAATACAGATATTGATGTTTTTATTTTATATTATGATGAATGTTATTGGTCAGTGTAATGTTTGGATATGTATACTTTTTTATTTGAAAGACATCAGAAGATACTGCCAGCAAAATGGACAATTTACAACAGTGATGTCTAAATGTGGTCTTAAAATTGCGTTTAACAATAAATGTGTTTCATTTGCATGTGTCATATTACAGTGTAGTATGATATTCCACTAGATGGCGCCAATGATTTGTCATATAGGTTCTACATGGCCCTGAAATTATATTGAAACAAGAAATTGTAACATAGTTTATGATGTACTTTCGTTCATTTTAAATGATTTATTTGTTTCAATCCCAAAGCCACTTCATAATCTACTGATCAACCACTGTGTGTGCTTAAAGTTTGTATAAAGAAGAGGTTTCAGTTGCTATTAATATGCCCTTTGTGTTGAGGAAGTTCTATATACGTGCTGACACTTCATTCAGGAAGCACTTTGAAGCTGACATTCTTGTACAAGCTTGATTTCCTTCATCTGAGTATTCAACTATATTGTGAACTAAATTATTTGTGTAGGTCTCCCAAGTTTGCTATCAGGCTAATGTTAAATTTAGAAATTGAAATATTCATTTAGGTCTTGAACTGAACATGCCTTGTGAATCTAATAAGTTATACTGCAGAAAGGTGTACTCTTCAGTCCTTTTGTCTGTTTCATTTCCATAACCATACAGCCTGCAGAGCCTGTGGAGACTGGTATTGTGCTGTTGGCCCCATACACAGCATGAGGTTGGGGAGGGTGCCTCCACTGGTCTATAATGATTTATATTATCAGGCATTGTTGATCCTTATTAAAATTAATCAGCTCAGCCTACAGGGAATGAAAAGGTCTAGACATGTTGATATGCAAAACAGAAATGTGTCTTCATAAAAACTTAAGTGGTTTCTAATTTGAAAAAAATTTATCAGAAAACAATTACACTGCTGTGTATGGGGAAACTTGTCTATATAAACAAAATGTTAATAGCTTGTAATAACCAGTGATATGTAAGGTGTAATCAGTATATGTCCCAAGAAAATGTGGTCCACCTTTACAAAAATCTCAAAATTCAAATACAGAAACAGTGTCACAGTTTGTCATGACAAAAACTCTTACATTACTGTAGTCTACAGAGACCTTGTCATTTAACTTTCTTGACTACATAAACTCCATCTGTCCCTTTGCCTATTTCCTCCAACTCTTTATATAACCAGCATCAGACCCAACAGCATCAGGACGACAGATCACATAGCTGACTTAAGAAAATATCTTGAAAGAAAAATGTCAACAACCTGACACAGCCAACAATCTGCAATCAGGTGGTTATTTCTGTCTCAGTTATCTCTTATTCCTTTTACCTTCCCATGTAGGCTGATCCGTTGGATCTGCCCCCAGGGGAACATTACTCAGTGCAAACAAGTTACTGCCTACAGGCTTTGAGAGATTACCATGAGTGGATGTTTAATACAGATAATAAGGCAAAAAACATGAGAAGACTTAAAAAATAAACTATTCCCCATCTGCTAGGAGGGCTGACACATTTACAGCATCATAGCTTTATCATGGTTTCAATCCTCCCCTTTGCACCTACTACACACTACACACAGCGCTTATGATTAACTGGATTTGCATGTATCATTCCCAAAAGGGTGTCATTGCTTCACCAGAGGACCCAGTGTTTAACTAAATTGAGACAGAATGCAGTGAGCTCACAGAAGGGGGGCAGGGAGGTGGCAGGTTGAGCACAACAAACACACATGGAACACACAGGGTTTCTCTCAGCTTCATTCATGCCAGACACTTTCATTCACAAGCTCACAAGGCCCCAATTAGCACCTAGCCACTGTCCACAGGGTGGCTGGCTACTGTTGTGGGAGACTGGGAGAGGCTACACTACAGCTAAACTAACCTGCCAGTCTGGCCCAAATATGCAGAGGTTAATAGGTAGGTTAAATTGGTATAGAATAGTTAATTGACTGTAAGTGTCATAATATTGTGATTTTTCAGTGTAAACTGTTTTAAGAACAAAAATAAGATAATGCGTTAAAGTACAGATGCCAGAAACGAACTGATGCTAAAAGTAGTATCAAAAATAGCTACCGAACAGGATAGATTGGACCTTTACTGAGTACATTTGCAATGGTCTCAATCTATATCAGAACTAATCTAAGACCACATCATAATATAAATTTTTATGAAAATTATAATGTATTGTCTAAAAATTGTAATGTGTTTAATTATTTTGGTATCAAAATCAGCATTGTGTCTTTATCTTACAATAGGACGCAAGTTTGAGATTGTAGAGGCAGAAAGCCAGGCCCTCACCCTAACCCAATCAAATATATTGGGTGCAATCCACCAGTCAGGTGAGATCACATTGATTTTGTTAGGTGGTAATGTCAAGCCCTCTAAAAGTAACCACTGGAATTGTTGATTATCTTTTCACATGGAGGAAAATATCAAATTAAGATTAAGATTTGTAAAACCCTACTGGAAAGAGTGCCATGTTTGTCAATAAAAACGTCAAAACTGCACATGCTGTCTCCCTCCCCCATGCAGTTCATTGTCATCCTCTGTTGTTATAGGTCCACATCATTTCCTCTGTCTTCTCTTGTTCAAGTCAATGCTCCCTACCTGCCTGTCTACACTGGTACAGCCCCCTTCGCCTCACTCCTGTCAATGCATTTTGCCCTTATAAGGAGAGAGCACAGGCAGACTGTACTATCAGTACAGGCTCCATGGGGGTGTTGAGAGAAAGGGCAGGGGAGACTGGTGCTAGCTGGGTTCTGAGATGCACAGAGGAGGATGGATGGAAGGATGGAGAGAGGATGGGAGCTGCCAGGCAACCACAATTCTGTCAATGGGACCAAATGAGATGACAAAAATAGACACAGGAAGTGTGTGGGGGCAGAGTGCAGATAAATGCATGTGTATTGAAGACACAATGCACTTGGGTGTTTGCCTGATAATTGTTAGTTTACCATTGTGTCCATTTGTGTGATAAATTCATATTATTTCTATAACTCTAGTCAGCTCTTAGAAATATTTTTGTAAACAATATAATTAATTATCTACCTTCTTGTGTGCAGTGTTTTTTTATTATACTGGTCAAGAGTCCTTTCACCCAACCCTTTCACTGAATAAGCAGTGCAAGGTAGTAACATTATCTGAAAAAGTGGTATCTGTAGTGTATAATAATATAAGATGATTATTTTTTTCAGTTTGGCTTTTCAATAGCTCAGCAATCTAACATTTCTTCAAGTATATCAACAAATTTCATTTTTAAGAAGAAATTTGGATTTAAGTTTTGTATTTTTATTCCTGCATTCTTTGTTTTCCCAATCTCAATTTAAGGCCACATGCAGTTTCTCCACTTTTTTGTGTGATGCCAAGTGACATAAGTGACCTGAAAACACAATACTGACTATATAAATAATCCAAGATGCCCTACATTATCTTCCAAGCCTCCATTGTGTATTTTTTAAATATTTAAACATTTACACTTTTCTAAGACCTATATTTATATGTGCAGGCAAACAAAAAAATGTAAATTAGTTAAAAAAAATATGCACAGCTGTATAGATATATTCCTATAATGGCTTTTTGTGAAGGTAAACTTTATCCAGACACCTATGCAAATGACTTACACACCATCCTCCTCCCATGGTATCCTTGGTTACGAGTTATTAATTCATTTGTCGACTGCAGGATGGCGCTTTACAGAGCATCACCAGGATCAGCTTCCCAGCTGGAGTCTTCATTTTGTTTATTTGAACTGTGCCAAGGAGGGTTGGTGGTGGGCTGGGATAAAGATGGCCACTGCATGAGATAATTCTCTGTTGTGACCCTGGAATAAAGTGGACAAACAATGAAATAACTGTTATGTTAACTTCACAATATTATGTATATTTACAGTTGTATACAACTGTTCATCACTGTTGCTGCCGGGATTATGTTCATGGAAAAAAAAAAAAAATATATATATATATATATATATATATATATATATAATATATATATATATATATATATATATATATTATATATGTGTGTGTGTGTGTGTGTGTGTGTGTGTATATATATATATATATACATATATACAGATATATATATATATACAGATATATATATATATATATACAGATATAAAAAAAAAAAAAAAAATGTGTTTCTCACCTTCCACGGTGGTAGGTCTCTCTCACCCTCATTCAGCTCGGGTCCTCTACCAGAGGCCTGGGAGCTTGAGAGTTCTGCGCAGTATCTTTGCTGTTCCCAGTACTGCACTTTTCTGGACTGAGATGTCCATTGTTTTTCCCGGTATCTGTTGTAGCCACTCTTCCAGTTTGGGGGTTACAGCCCCGAGTGCTCCGATCACCACAGGCACCACTGATGCCTTTACTTTCCAGGCTCTCTCCAGCTCTTCCTTGAGCCCCTGGTATTTCTCTAGCTTCTCGTGTTCCTTTTTCCTGATATTACCATCGCTTGGTATTGCGATGTCCACCACCACGGCTCTGCTCTGTTTCTTATCCACCACCACTATGTCTGGTTGGTTCGCCATCACCATTCTGTCAGTCTGTATCTGAAAGTCCACAGGATCTTGGCTCGGTCATTCTCCACAACCTTTGGAGGTGTTTCCCACCTTGATCCTGGGGTTTCCAGCCCGTACTCTGCACAGATGTTTCTGTACACTATGCCCGCCACTTGGTTATGTCGCTCCATGTATGCTTTCCCTGTCAGCATCTTACACCCTGCAGTTATGTGCTGGACTGTCTCAGGAGCCTCTTTGCACAGTCTACACCGTGGGTCTTGTCTGGTGTGGTAGATCTGGGCCTCTATTGCTCGAGTGCCCAGGGCCTGCTCCTGAGCAGCCAGGATCAGTGCCTCTATGCTGTCCTTCAGACCAGCCCTCTCAAGCCATTGGTAGGATTTCTTGATATCAGCCACTTCAGTTATGTTCCGGTGGTACGCCCCATGTAGGGGTTTGTCCTGCCATGATGGTCCCTCCAGCACCTCTTCCTCTGGACCCCACTGTCTGAGACATTCTCTGAGCACCGTCATCTGCCGGGGCCTTGTCCTTGATGTACTCAAGGAGCTTGGATGTTTCATCCTGGACAGTGGTTCCCACACTCACTAGTCCTCGGCCCCCTTCCTTCCGGCCTGCGT